CTTCATTTCATCTTCTTCTTGAGATGCAACTTCATCTAGGATGTGATTTTTTAGGACGCAACTTCGTCTTCTTCTTTTTCTTTCCCTTTTTTTTTCTCCTTTTTTTTTTCTTTTTTTTTTTTTTGAGATGCAATTGGATCTCTTCTTCTTTGACAAGGATCTTTGAATCAAATTAGAATTTCTTCAAACCTCAAATAATTGGTGCCTCTTACCAATGTTCAATTCGATCTTGAACTTTCATCAATATCATGACTTTGAACCTTACAGGCTCAAGAGATTTAAATGTCTTTCAATGTCCTCTTGAACTGTTAGTAATCTTTTCCCTCTTTGATGATGCTTTAAATTTTATGAACATGTTTTATTCACCCATACTATCATCAAGAATTCAATGTATCTACTTGTCTTTTTTTTTTTTTTTTTTTTTTTTTCCAAAGAGTGTAAGATCCTTTCTCAATTCTTCCATTTTTTTCTATTTTTATTTTTTTTCTAAACAATTAGATTGATTTTGGTTTTTTGTTTTTGGCTGCAGAATCTAAGACAAGAAGCTGTAGGGATTCAGGACCACTTTTGGATAAGAATATTGTTTGGAACCGATTGTATTCCAATCTGTAAGGAACCTTCCCCTTTTTATTTTTATTTTTTTTTTTGTTATGATCCTTTGAATGTAATTGTGTTTTCATATTTTTATGTTGAATTTAAATTTGTTCATTGTTTTTGATGGTTCATTGATCCTGTTATTTGCTCCCTTTTTTCCATTTGTTTAAATGAATGCTACTGTGATTTAGTGCAGAGAAGACAATGAAAAATGTTAGATTGAGTTTATAAGGTATCATTGACGATTAAAGGTCTTCAATTTGGAGGCTGGAGATGTCTACCCAATGAGACAATTTTGATTCTAGCAATTCTTCAGGTGGTAGGGCAAGAATTTTTTATATATGCTAGATAGGAAAACTAAAATTTCTAGTGCTATGTTTGTTAATCTAATATTTTTTTTTTTTGTGGGTTTTGTTGTTTGATGATAATGAAAAACCCAACAAGGGCGGTTGATTGAGATGTTAGGGTTTGTAGAGGTTGAAGAAAGCGAGGAGGAGAGGGAAAGGGAAAAGGAAAGAGGAAAAAGAGGAACAAAAAAAAAAAAAA